AAAACCAAGGAGAAGAAGACAACAACTAAAATTAGAAACAATGTTCACATTTATAAATTAAAAAGAAATAAATCAGAAAAAAGAAAACAAGTACAGGAAGGAAGACAAAAAAAGTTCACTTCATACTGTGCTTCTGCTGCCATTTGAAAACAAAGTGCGCAGACAGAGCCCAGACCCACGGTGACTGACCCAGCAAACGCACAGTAGAATTACACCAGGTGGTGGATATTCCCAGCACGCCAGTGCTCCCATTCAGGTAGCTTCAGTTCCTGTACTTTATGATAGTCCGTGAGTTGTTCAGCCCTTAATACTCTGGTTGTCTCCTGCCAGTTTGAACTGGCAGTTTGAAAAGTGTGAACTGCCAGTTTGAAGTGTCCTTGATAGTGATGTCTCCTCAGTTTGTGGCTCCTCTGCACACTTGGAGCCCCTAGACGGAGCCAAGTCACTGTCCTGCTTTTAGTAGACCCCATTGCAAAAGAACAATGGGCCAATTCTCCCCTCCTGAGGACGACTGAACTATACTGGCATCCCTTAACCTCCACTATAGTCTGCAGCATCCACTGCTCTGTTGAACTCGTGCATTTCTCTGTGGAGGCCTTTAGACTCACCAGTACACACTGAGCCTCTGCTGAACTGAGCTGTTCCTCTCCACTTCAAGCTAGGATTCAGGGAGAAAGTGCCACTTCCTGAATATTGCTTCTGTGTTGAAATCCCTCTCTGTACTCTGCCTGTTGGTTCCAGTGCTCACTTCCAAGTCTTTCTGGATCCCGGAACCCACTTCTTTATCCTTCTCATCCCAGTTTGGGAATATTGCAGCTTTTGGCTTCTCATGTCAAAGAGACTCTATTGCTGCTGCTCTTCATCATTCCACCATCTACCCAGAAATCCTCCTTACCCTTTGTAGGAATAAGACTGAGGTCATTCTCCTAGTAGGACAGAAGGGATGAATGTACTATTATGCTTCAGCCATCTTCTATTTGATTTAAATCATCCTACAGACTCAACAAAAGTACAGCTTTTGACTCCTGTGTCCCTTGGCGGACTGTCTTGTTAAATACTTTCTAGATCCACGTAACATTCTATTCTCTTTATCACAAAATCATGAGCTAAACATAACATTCAAAATTTAAAAAGGTAAACTTTAAATAATTCTGTAGCTACATGTTAATGTTCTTGATTTCTGCCTTTTGACTTACAATCTTCAAAATATTTTATTTTTATGTAGCTCATTCAGAATATGTTGGCTGATCCCTCATCTAGATTCTCAAAAAAGAAATCAATGATTTGATGTTATTTCCCTTAGAGGACTTATATTGAAGCACATATAAAATGTTTTTTGGAGGTACAAAGGAGAAATCTGTCACAAGTTGCCAGCCACAAGAGTAGAATTTGAAGAAATGTGCAATTGTTTGACTAAAACACATCATTTAGAGGCTACACTTCCAGATCATTTGCTGGAAAATTTCATTTATAAAACTAACTTGGAATGAACCCAATGATCTCTGTAGAACCTGCTGTCAAAAATCAATACAAGATACCCTTACATCCTATTCCTCCTCTTCGACAAGGTGATGTTGACACCACGTCCACTGAGAGTTTGGTCTGTGCTGTTTTAATAATGTGGCTGTCCTGTTAACCATGATGGAAAAGATTATAGGTAAATTCCAAGGGCAAGTCATTTAAGACAGTAGAGTTTCTGCTTTTCTAAAAACTTCATTTACGTCGGAATACTTCTTCCACTCCATGGAACAGCCCAGAATGTACTGGTGGTGACACCTGCCAGCCACCAGCAACTACCAGACAATTCTGAAAGGAAGCCAGCAGGTGTCTGTAGCTCTTAGACCCATCACTGTGTAATCTAAATGAACCATAAATTAGTTGTGATTGTTTAAACTTCTAAGTCTTTGTGTGATTTGATTTTGGGGTGAGTGGTTTTGTTTACAGCAATTAATAATTAGAACAATTTTATGGTGTCTTTTAATTATGATATAAAGAATATTGCAAACATGTTCACCAAATTACTACAGCATTCCTCTGGAGAAAGCGGTAAATGGATACTGAGTCAACCTGATTTCGTGATTATTCTATAGGGTTAGAATGCTGTTCATCATAGCTGATGTGTTGGTTACTTTTCTTTCACTGCTGAGGCAAAATATTCATCTACCAAAATTGAGGCAGAAAGGTTTATTTAGCTTACAGTTTGTGGAGGTTTCAGTCTATAATCACCTGACCCCTAGGTAGGGTGGCAGGGCAGAGGGGCAGCACTTCAAGTTGGCACAAGACAGCAAGAGCAGCAGGAACATAAAGGGAAAGGAGAAAGCCTCTTTCTACTACTTGTATTGTGCATAGGCTATCTACCCATACTCACACAATCTCCATGCACTCTTCTTCCAAAAGCTGAGGATATTCACAAAGTACGAACCCTAGCTCCTTGCTGAATCACTTAGTTGAACTTTTAAACTTCTCAAGTAGATGCAATGAACAACATCCTAGAGTCGTAAGAGCAAGTGCATTTCACAAAGTATGTAGAATTGCTGAGGTCTTAGTTAAGCTTCTGGACTCTTGAAGTTGACACATTATACCAAGCATAACAATCCACTCCTTGTCAACTTGTCAACCAGACACATTTCTTTAAAGGAGTTTCCAGACAAAGACATTCTTCTTCTCATTTCACAACTTGAACATTATAAAACAGGTTAACATTCCTTCAGAACCAGTATTGTCTATCAACATTATCTTACATTAGCACCCTAACATTTTGCCCCCAAAAGTCTCATGCACATCCCTTTATGCAAAAGGTATTTAGTCCACTGGCAGAGTTCTCAAAAAGTCCTAACAGGTTCAGCATTGCTGAAAAATTCAAGTGCTGGAAAAATCCAAGCCTCCTCTGAGATGTAACGAACACTACTAGTTGCAAGCCCCTGTACAAAAGAAAAGTTAAACACTTCAACATTCAGTGGCATAAAATAAGCACTTTTATTCTAAAAGTTACAAACTAGGGAATATAAGGGAATAGGATCAAAGTAAGTCTAAAATGTAGCAGGGCAAACATTAAGTCCCCTAGTCCCATGTCCAGTATCGGAAACAATCTATGGCACATTGGGAGCTCCAAAGGGCTTGCATGATTCTATCACTATGATATTTTTGGTGGCTATAGATCCCATGGATTCTCACATGATCCTGCTTTGCTCCCTCCTTGCAGCTTTCCTTAGACAATTTACATTCCTGGCTTTTCCAAACTTCTGGTGTCTCCAGGGCACCTTTTTTCTTCACACTCAGCTTCACATATTGCACTCTCAGGGGCACATTGTCTGGCTTCCCAGGCCTTTTGAAATATAGTTGCAAAATTTCTTAATCTCAGAACTCTTGCATTCTGCATGTGCCTAAAACTAGCACTGTGGGGTAATCCCCAATCAGCTCCCAGTTGGAGCAGTAGCCAAGTATTCCTCCCTTTGGGGGTAGGGCTCGAGAGCCTGGATCACTGGGCACTCTGAATATAATTTTAAAATCAAATTCCCTGTAGTGCTACCATTCTGGGACACGGCACTCTGTGGCTTTCTCCTCAAAGCAAAGTCTTTCACCTTTGAAGTTTTGAGGTGGATGCCCTCAGACCAACCTTTTGATTCTCTTGTTCTTCCTCAGCAATCATGTTCTCCTCACCTGTATCACTGCAGTCCTCAACTTTACTGGACTTTTCTTCCTGGCCAAACTCACAGTGTTTTAAATCATCCTGCTGGGATCTTTGCTGTTCATTTTCAACATAAATCTTGTGAAAGCCCCTAATAATAGCCATGTCACCACCTCAATATTTGACTGCCTTGAAATTTCTTCTGCCAGATTAACTATTCCACCGTCCTTAAACTCAGACTTCAGGAAAGCCTCTGGACACAAGCAAAATGCAGACAACCTTTCTGCCAAGGGATAGCATGCATTGTCTAGATTCCAACAACCAGTGTAGTACTTCTTCCCTCCCAGATCTGGCCTTTGCTGGCATGATTTCTATCAACCTTCTGGTCTTCTGAGCTCTGACCAGAATTTCCCATACAGAACAACTGAAGGTGTTCTAGCATTTCTCTTTCAGATGACATCTCTGTACCTTTCCAAAGTCTTCCCATAAGCCATTACCAAAGGCTCTTGCTTACATGCTCAGGTATAGTCACAGCCGTGACCCCACTCCTCATACCAAATTCTACCTTGGTTCCTTTTCTCTCATTGCGGAGGCAAAATACCCAATGCCAAAAATTAAGGAAGGAAAAGTTTATTCAGCTAACAGTTTGTGGAAATTTCAGTCTATAGTCAGCTGGCTCCAAGGCAGGGTGGCAAGACCCAGCGGCAACACTTCAAGGTGGCTCACGAGAGCAAAAGCTGCAAGAGCAAAAAGGGAAAGGAGCAAGCATCTGTCCCCTCCTTGTACTGTACATAGAATATCCACCCATGCCCACACCATCTCCATGCCCTTCTCTTCTTCAAGCTTAGAATATTCACAAAGTAAGGACTCTGGCCTTGTGCTAAATCACTCAGTTGAACTTTTAATCTTCTCAAATTGACACAATGATCAACATCCTAATGTGGTAAGGGCTTGTCCATTTCACTCAGGATGCAGAACTGCTGAGCTCTTAGTTAGGCTTCTGGACTCCTCAAGTTGACACAATCTATCCACCACAGTGTACCAGCAATCTCCCAGCTGGACTGGGAGGTTCCATGGGCAAAATTGTAAATACAAAGGAATCAGGAATTTTCACATAACATGACCTACTGTGTTCACTTCCGTTTGGAATTTAATTTCACAACCGACAGTTAGCACACCACGTGGAGGTAGAAATGGATAATACAAATATTTGAATATATTTCTCTGTAAAATTACTTTTGTACAAGTATACATTACTACTTAAGGATGAGCTGTATTTTTTTGAAAAATTAAGGATATTTTAAATTTAAACACTATAAAACTTACTTTCACACAACAATACCTAAAGACATAAGACTTAATATATGAACTGTGGGGAACAGTCCCTGGATTATCTGGAGATTCATCACTTAGACTACATCTCTGGACTCTCCTTGTTCTGAACTTGTAAGCTGATGAAATTATCCCCTTGTGGAAATATATCCAGGGAACTAATATATATCTCCATGTGTGTGTGTGTGTATGTATGTATGTTTGATGAATATCTGTTCTATTCATTTTACTTTTCTAGATAACACTAACCAATAAAATTTTAAAATAATTTGTACAGTTTAATAATAATTATATAATAGGATATGTTGATTGATTTCCAGACATAAATCATGAAAAATTACCATGATCATAGTTACTTACTTCCAAACTTGGTCACATTTGTGTGTGTTACAGTCTTCTTCAACAGGCTTGAATTCTGTTAAATTCATTAAAATGAAAATGAGTGAAAATTATGTGAACTGCCTATCTTTTGAAATCTTCCTCATTTTTATCAAACTGTAATTTGCTATAATGAGCCAAGAATCATGAATCTGTATTTTATTTTATTTTATTTATTTATTTATTTATTTTTTGGTTTTTCTCTTGTACCAGGAGCCGAAATCATGACCTTGCGCTTGCCAGGCAGGCGCTTTGCTGCTGAGCTAAATCCCCAGCCCCATGAATCTGTATTTTAAATGGTTTAGAAAACAGATCATGTCAATAAGAATTCACTCTTATTTACATGTCCTTTTACTTCTTCTTGTCAACCATAAGTTAAAATGACTTTGCTAACCTTTTATCATTGCACATAATATCTACCTACAAATGTGCAGATTTCACAATAAAAAGCATTACCATTAATGAGTAAGTCGAAGTAATCCAAGGTTGCTATGGAATTGTAAAATTACATTAGAGAAATTTAAGCAGAGAAATGTATTGCACGGTGAAAAATATGCCGACTTAAATCTGAGGCAGTAATACTTCTGAAGAATATGACTTATTTTTAAGCAGAATTCATTCAGCAAATGTAAAAACTTAGAAATGAAGGAAGCCATGGTTAGCAGTGTGTCCACCCAAGTAGGGCTTTATGAACTGTTGAGATGGCAACCCTCTTCTGAGAGGAGATGAGTCCAGAATGGCACGCTGACGTCCTGAGGACTCTGAATCCTCCACACTGCTCCAGCACCTCCTGTGCGCTTGCAGAAACTGCTGGTCTCCACACTCCTCCCAAAGTCAAGCACTGAATGTGAGCACTTGGGATGAAATTATGACTTAATGTGAATTAAACTAACATAAGGTAATAGAGTGTGAAGTCACCTTTACATTCTACTTATCATGAGTACAATGTCACTCAAGAATCTATCATTGCTTTATATTTTCCAACTAATTATATTGAAAACAACATAAATTATACTTTCTAAGCAAGTTCTTCAGTATCAAATATTTGAAATTTTTAAATCTATAAACAATATAAATATTTGCATGTTTCATATCATTAGTGATAATTTGTTACCCAAAGAATTTAAAATATACTTTGACAATTACTTTGAATATGGAAAAACATTTATTTCTTTTATGCTTTAATTCTCCCAGTGTATTTTGCAGCAGATACATTTCACTTTATTTGATTCTATTTATATATGCAGAGTGTCATAAACTAAACAGAAAAATGAAAACATCTCCAAAGATATTGTTAAATAACAAACTATATATTGCAAATGTATTTTTCCCAACTAGGACTAAATGTCAATTTAGTGTCACTTAGTGTTAACAATTCGGGTCCTTTAATGAAGAGGAAAATTTGCTTATTATCTTTAAGATATACTAAGAATGGCAGAAGAACTCTAAAATCATTGCTCCAGTTCACCAGCAACTTGAAAGAAATCAGTTATCAACTCTCAATTTATTCACAAGTTCTTAGATGAAAGATGGTAAACAAATGGAATTTTAAAAGAAAAGCAGAAAAGGTCAGTAGTAGTGAATTTCTTCATTATTGTAATTTAAGGATATTATTTGATACAGAGTAGAAGCACATCCAGCTGGTAAGGTGAAAGTGGAGGCCTATGGAGTAGAGAGCATGTGACAGCTGTGACTGCATAAGATGCGCATTTCCTCTGTTAATATGTTGCATATTCCACTCCTAGGAGGCATGGAGGGCAGAGAACAAGGAAGCACAGAGTAAATTTCACTGAGGAGCTCACCTCTGTGCAGATCAATCAGTCACTCAATTGTCCTCCAGTGCACACACCCAACTCAGGTTTCCTAGATCACTCCTATCCTGCCTTGCTAAAAAAGGTTCAGCACCTTTACACTTTCAGAGTACTTGTGTCTGTTCTTATGGAGGCTTTTCTTACTCTTACAAATTTTGGAGAAGAGGGGAATGTCAGACAACTTTAAATACTCTCCACTCAGGTTTGCATTCTTAATAATTCAAAGTTTCATTGTCTAGAATAAAAAGCCGTTATCTATAAAGGTGTTTTGAATTCTGACCAAGGTTTATATTTTCAGAGCCATTAAATCCTTAAACTCAGGCAAATAGAAGGCTTTTGTTCAGAAATGTCAGTTTGCTTAATATCTTAGTAAGTTTATCATTTAATAAAATATATATACTCACAAATTCTAAATGATATACGAATCTTTTGAGCCCAAGAAGATGAATTTTGTCATATTTTCATAGAGACTTAAACGCGAGGAGGCAGATTGAGAATAGGCCAATTCCAGGTTATATTCGTGTACCCGTGAATGGTACTAATTACTGGTTAAGATATGGTTCACTACATTCCTTACTAGCGATTTGTAATATGTGTTTTTATGTGTGTGTGCTGGCATTAAAAATGTAGTATAGTGATAGCACCAAATCAAACTCACTAAGGTCAAAGGCAATATATGTAAACCTTAGATATGATTGTACCTGAACATGTGTAAAATGATTTATTTTTCTGATTCCTACACATACGTGCCTCTTCCTCTTGAAAGAACAAAATTTCCAGATATAAATTCACTATTGAGCAGTTAATTATTCATGTCTGTATGTAGCTTCTTCATCTCTTTTTCTTAGTCTGAATTCTAAGAAAAATAATAAAAATTTTATCTATATATTAAAGGCAAAAGCAAGAAACAGATGCAAATATAATTATGAAATATTACTAGACAAGGTATCACACAGATATTTCATATTGAAGAAGAGAAGGTAGAAGGTATAGATGCAAGAAAAATGCAAAATTGAAACACCGTACTTCAGATACCTTTATATTCTATATTTTATGTTTCATGGTTTTGAAACATAATTTATCTACAATTCTTGAAGCACAAAATTTATAATTGATAATCAAAAGTCTATTTCCTAGGAAGAACACTATATATTCTTTAGAAACTGCACAGAAACTACAGTCAAACTTAAAGATGAGAACTTTAAATTTTTGCAGATCCGCCAACTCACTCAGAACTCTGAAGCTCACCTTCATCATCTGTCTCAATTCATCTTGGGCTAATTCATCAAGATCCATCGTGTGTGGCCAGTATATCTACTTGAATATAAGTGAGATGCAAAGTAAAGTTTTCTGTATGAAGTTGAGGGCGTAATCTTGCTGATGTAAATAGAGGGAAATGAAGGGAAGGAGAATGTCTGATTAAAAGTATTCACGACAATTTCAAACTGTGGAAACTGACTTCTAATCTTGCACTTGACACAGACCGTCCTTTCCTGGTGAGGTGTGCTTCCTGTCCTGCTCTCCACCATGGACCTCAAGGGCAAAGGTATGTGCAGTGAGGCAGGGCAGTGTGGCTTCATGAACTCTCTTGTGTGGTTTGCTAGAATAAAATATTAGTTAATACCCAGAGGTTTTTGATTTATAGGTTTAGAAGTAGTATCACTATTTATGTGTAAAGGAACTGCTCAAAGTTAATAGAGTGATTCAGTGATCCTCTAAAGGTGCATTTAGACATTTGCCAAAAGTGGAATAACTTTTGCAGTGTATTGTTGGAGGTCATGGAGGCACAGGTAGGGTGCTATCATTTTTTTTGCATAGAGACCTGTGTCCCGGTATGCACAGTCCAAAACACAGAACACATCTCAGCATAAGAAATATCTTGCACAAAACACCACAGTGCTCTGTTTGAGCTATTCCAGACCAAGAGCCAATGTGTGCTATTTGTCAGAATTCCAAAAAATCAAAAAGAACATTTTATTGTTCCTTAGTCTACTCTTTGTTTTGCCCAAACTTGACTGAACCTAATAAAACTTTCAATTCTGAAGTCATACTGCCGGAATAATGGTCACAGTGAATTTCATGCTTCTTTCTTAATATTACTCAAGCCAATTATTTTAAAATGAAAAGTGAGCTACAAGCAGGTGTGCTGCCTCCTCTACCCAGTATCGGTAGGACTCAGGGAAAATCATTGAATTTTTCTAAACTTTTGTTTCAATACATCTGACAATTATTACAAATCCTCAGTCAATCTGCCTGGCTTACCCTAAAGTTTAAATTTGGAAAACTATCTCACGTGATCAGCAAAGCGTGCATGAACTGCACAGTGTTCTTGTGAGGAATTCTCAGATCCGGCCATGGCGTCACTTTTATGGTAGGATGCTCTTCATGCACAATACCAGCAACCGAGCAATTCTGTGCTTGTTCTTCCAAGCATGAAGACGGAACACAGATCAAATGTACTGTTCCCATTTAACTGTTTAAGATGCTTATAGCTATGAATACAATAAAAACTTACAATCACGTTGAGAATCTTCCTGGTGATCAACGGTAGAATTTCCCAGGATATTAAACTACGCTAGGTTCAGAGTTTAAAAGTCTTGTATCAGATTTAATATAATTTTCAAATATTTGCATAGTACAGAGGCACTTGTGGGAGCAATATGAAAACACAGGAGTCACCCACCACTCAGTCTGTGAATACGAAGCTCACCCACAGGGTCACAGTAGAAGGTGTTGGTTCTTTCCTATCTGAGCTCTTACAGCACCAAATTGTTCCTTGGAGACAGTGGACATAGACAAGGCTTGCCTGGGCAGGATGGCTTGTGATGACCTCATCAAATAGATTATCCCAGATGCTTGTGCTTTCTTTCAAACAGGGTCCCTCCTCCTGCTGGTCATGTCAAGTCTGGTCCTGTGCCCAAATGTGGCCTCTCATCGGATCTGTGATGATGATTTGAGATGCCAAGTAAACCTTCATGATCTGTATATTTCTGCAACCCATTCGGCTCTGGCCATGCATTTCCATGCTGCAACCTTATTCCGGGAATTTGTAAGCATTTCCCTTTTCCTACCTACCCCAACCGAGAAATCCAAACAATGATTGGCCTGTACTACAATCTAAACATGAGGAAGTCAGCAACCAAATATCTAATAATATATGTTAATTTATTTATAAAGTATAGGGTAATAATCTTAGCACAAGAAACGAAGGAATGTTTCATGAATGTCAGATTGTGAAAGAATTAATGACTTTTTAAAAAATCCAGTGGCACATGCAGTTTCTGAACTTTTAATATCCTGACATATGGCTATTAAGGAGGGATGAGGAAGGGCTCCGTTTTCTTGGTCTTGTACAAAGGGGCCAGTCCACGGGCGTTCTTCTTGGAGTGCACAGCAGATATGTAAAAACAAGAAAGGCTTTGCATTGAGCTGGGTGGACTGACTAGATTTAACTAAAATGAAGTCACCTCAGAGGAAAAAATGTCAAATTAATAGCATTTAGATACTCCCTATGCTTGAATTCTCTGTTCAAATATTTTCAGAATGAAGTTTATAATTGGAAGTAATAGGTTAGCTCACAAGGGGACAGAATTCACCAATTCCACAGGTACTTGGAACATTGTGTGGATTCTCCTATGTAGCAGACAGGAGATTACGGTACAGAATAACGATGTTCTTTCGTACATAACGAGGCCTAGTGTCTACGATATACACTATTCACATAGCTCATTTCATTTACTGTTGTGCCTTTTAATCCCCATTTTCAAGTGGGCATTTTGTGTCTTCCAAGTCATGTTATCAATACCTTTAAACTTTCACAATTTTCACAGCTTTCACTTAATACTACTCAGTGTATTTCTCTTTGGTTTTCATATTGAACTATTATTTACAATTTTCTATGATGCTTTGTTACATTTTACTTCTTCTCTTGTTACAATAAGATTTTTGTATTTTGTGTTTATGATGAAGTTGGCAATATTCTTGCTTATGAGTTAAGGGTTAATTGAAGGAACAGTATAATTCATCCACATTGAAAAGAAAATATCACTTTGGACCGATAGAAAAGATATTAAATATGTAGGTATGAATGCCTACACGGGATGATTTTAGCTTATATACTAGAGAAAGTGATAATACAAGCACTTAAAGCTTTGTAGTTCATGCTAACATTAGACTTAGAATTTTCAGGAAGGATGAGACAACAAGGGCATAGCAAAGAAGGAAAGTGTTGGACAGATTAGAAAATGTGTTAAAAACCGTGAGATTATACTTACTGGGAAACAGCAGGCTAAATAGTCACTTTCATAATTCTTTAGATTCAATTTTATGTATCTCTCACATTTTAAAAAGTTATAGTTCCACCAAATATAGTCATAATTTAGTAATAAATTCATGTTTTCAATATGCAAAACCATACTGCTGAAATATTCCTCATTATTTTCAGGAAAACAATAATCCAAGGATTCTACCTACTTTTTGGCAGTGATAAAGAGTTGCCACACAGCGGATATCCTTGCTCCAGGTGAGGTGAGAGAGGCCAGGCTCATGCAGGTGAGTTCAGCTGCACTGGTGTGTCCTGCCTCGGGCGTTAGCAGACTCTGCGGTCAGTGGTAGCAGTATTCAAACCTGAGGAGGAAAACGGACCAAGAGTATGCAGCCAAAGAAAAAGTGTGCTAAGCAGTTGGTCAGTTATACACAAAATCAAAATTAAGTATTGTACTGGAACCAGAAATTGACCGTGCAGATCATGCTACTTTCACGAATGCTTTGTGCCTGGGCTTGAATGTATTATACCATAGGCAGTGTGAACTGAATTGGATATTCCAGTACACATGTAAGATGTGCCTGTTCATGGCTTCTGACTGGAAGTTACCTGGGCCTCCTGCTCTTGTGGTGTTTACATTGCTGGCCCCTGTCTGATCTGCACCATCTCTCCTGGACTTTCAGCACTCTGCTTTGCTTCTGCCTCTGCTTCTCACACGCGGACTTCTTCACCCTGCCCTCAATGCTTTCCTCCTCCTCACACCTCACCACTGAAAGTCTCCCCACGGTGCTGTCCTGTTCTGTATAGAGTCGCGGTTCTCACAGTTGCAACTCTGCGCTCTGTTCTGATGAAACAAACTCTCTGCATTCAACTCTATCATTTATCTCAGCTCTAGCTTTTCTATGGTTAATGTCTCTCTCTTAAGAATCCCTCACAGGAAGAAAATCTTAGCATTATTTTAACTAAAGGGAGAGTATTTCATAGGGAAACTACACTGAACGCTGTCTGATTGAATTCTCAAAAGAAAGTCATGAGTTATTTCCTTAGCAAATTTTGGTTTGTTTTTCCGCAGTACAATATAGCCCAGACACTTTAAGTATATGTTTCTTAAATCTTCTGTCATCTCCCGATAATTTTAAACACTCATGAAGAGCAAGGACCTATATTACTTCCACCTCTCTGAGCCAAAGTGTCACGTAACTAATTCAGCTATGTTTCACTTATTTTATTTTGATCGCTCCCAAATGGCTGCACAGCAAGAACAACTTTTTAACTTCGTGCTCCGCTACTTGCGCTCCTGGAGAGATCCCCTGCTACAGCTGGGCCTGGAAGCACATCACCTGCCGAAATTCCAATTATTCCTCTCAAATAAAATCAGGATTATTTTATCAAAATACCAACAACTTGGAGATCTCACAAGTCTTATAGTCAACCACGTGAGCATTCTTTTGACGCGTCATTGCATTTCTAATAATGAGTTTCCATCTCTGTGAGAATGTTTTGAACTATCTCAAACACTTTGAATATTTTAGTGGACCGTTCCATCCTCTACTCAGCCATTAAAGAGTTTAAGAGCCTTAACCAGCCACAGTGTGCATTCTGACGCAAAGGAGTGTGAGGGCTTGGTTTTCCAGAGCAGAGCATCTGAAAAAAAATGTTTTCTTCAAAGAATCTCAGGACAGTCACACAGGACTTAGCATCACATTCTGTCACTGTTCTCAGAGCAGAGAATCACTGAGAGGGAAGAAAAAAAAATCAAAATCGTATGAGATGTTCCACCCTGAGCCAGAGTAGCCTGAGGGACCCCATCATCAGCGCTGCCCCACGGGCACTAGCTGTTACAGCATTGAAAATGTACAGCTAATTTTAGTATTGAATTTTCCTTATGGGTAAAGTTTGAAGAAACTTCTCTAAGTTTCAGTTTCCTTGGTGTTCCTAAATGAATATTAACGTCATCACATTAAAACTTCAGAAATAATTTGTCATACCTACATTGAATTGATATTTTCAGTATGTATCTCCATGTCTGTAGGAAAATTCCAACATTAGATAGACAACACATAAGCACCTTTTTAAATTCTCAGGGAAAATGTGTTATAGGGACATATGTGATTTTAAATGTAGTAACTTGAGCAATTTTATGGTTTTAACTTTTTCCTAAGTATCTGCTATGGCCTGATGTCTTCATAGGAAAAATTGTCTGACACTAGAAAAAAGAGTGCTTTAACCCAGGAACATAGAAAAGAAACACCTTCATTTGAATTTCCTTTCTTTATTATTGTGAGCACACTTCTCGAGCTAACTAATTTGTTCTAGAATTCATTGCTTTATGTCCTTTTATCCAAAAACTTAACTATATGATGAATGACTTGCTACTTTTGCAGGAAGTATAGTCTTAGTGATAAGCCTCAAAAGAAAAAAAAAAGCAGAAACCTAGATAAAATATAAAGCCATATGGTTCAATAAAAGGAATTCCTACTGTGTAGGAGAAAGTTTAGATGACCAGGGTCTACAGTTATTCCTGCTTTGCACCCCGTAGCTCTGGAAATGAGCTGACCTCTTCCGAGGCAGCACAGTGTTACTGTGGCTCTGGGATCTGAGGGTCTCCCAGCTCCCACAGGCTGATGGAGGGCACAGGGACCCTCTGATCTCCCTTCACTGTGCAGTGCTTTGCTGAGCACAGTCTCTCCCCTCCGCACAGCACAGTCTTCACCATGGCCAGCTAGTGCCAGTGCCCTCTTCATACACACTTTCCTTCAAACACTAGACCTGAGGGAGCTCAAAGGAAAGCAGCTGGTATTCATTGGGAAGATATTATTCCTAAGTGTAATAAGAGACTGACACTTTGTCAGTCGTGACTTTTTTGTCATACCTTTAAGTACTAATTCCAGAATTCAGTATTTCTAGAATCTCAGTGCTGTCCCAGTATTCAGAACACTTGCTGCACAAAGGAAGCAAAAGTAAATGCTGAGCTATCAGGAGCAGTGAAATACAAAGCAATTGTCAGGCACAAGTTTCAGAAAGCATAAAAGTTCATAAAGTGTGATAAAATAAAACGTCTCTGCAGTGTTCCTTAGTCAATTCCATATCTATACTCAAGTAGCAACGTTCTGGATCTAGACCTTAGGGCTCTACCCTCCAGGAGCATAGGTTTCCTTTGATCACTTTCCTGTCAGAGAAATAGTAGAGGTGTTCTGCTTCTAGCTTTTAGATGACTAATAGTTCTGTGATAGTTGGGCAAGATAAATGACAAGTTTACAGTTTAACTAAAATTTTAAGTTTTTATTATTTTCCAAAACTCAATTTAAGAATTTGAAGAAATAAAGAGATAGAAATGTCAATAGTATCATTAAAAGTGACTGTCTTTCTGATGTCTAGTTTGACGTTGAAGTCCAAGACAAAGTGGAGTACTCTTTGTGGTTGGAGAAGGAATCCCTGGAGTCACCTGATGAGCAAGCTCGCCTGTTCACTGTTTATAACACTCTCCGCTGCTTGGTCTCTGATGCAAAAAAGATTCACTTTCTTCTATCCTTCGTGAACTGCCTCGCTGACAGTGAGGGGTATTGTTAATTCTACATGCATTGGTTTTGTTTCTGAAATGTTTTCCAATCATTCTTCACTTGAAATGATTATTTTGGAAACGTGATTTCTAAGGCATGCTTCTCTGTAATGTATAGATATCCCTGCATAAAAAAATTAAAAACTAAACGTTTGACATTGTCAGCTTATGAGTTTCTTTTCATCATTTAGCAGAAAATCTAAAATATGCCATAAGGTTAG